TTGCATTATGAACTAGTGATTCCTCTCTGTCGTAACTGCACCAACTGTCATCACAATCCATTGTGACCTGACTTGGTCTGACAAGGTTTCACATTTTTAGTTCAATGGTGAATCCAATCTCTACATCGCTCGCCTTTTGGGAAGGGACGTACTGAGTTTCTTATGGTGGAATTTGTCAACGTATTACCGCTTAATATTCCTCCATTCTACTTGGCTCCTATAAGTGAAACAAACCATAAGTTGGTTTTACTTGCTTGTTCATGTCCTGATTTAGAAATCAGAATCCTTTATAACCCATAGGTTGCTTATGACTCGTTTGGTAACCCTACATATTATCCTTAGCCTTTTTACGGCACTTGATCATATGTTGTACCTTGAACCAATTGCTCCTATCCAGGATTACTTCGATATCTACTCATTATGCCCTTGGCAATAATAGACATCAGGTCTCATTTACCACATAACACATACTAGGCTTCTTTTTGCCGAGGACAAGGAACTGCCTTTGTGTCATGCAAATTCGAATGAGCCTTATGATAGTATCTGGATAATGAAATTCGGGATAATCACAACATATCTTTCTTGTGATCCTCAATCTCAAGAATATTTGTTGATTCCGAATCCTTCATATCCAACTACTTCGGTAACCTTACCCTTGTGTCTTTTAACACTCTCACACTGTGTCCAGTGATCAAGATGTTGTCAACACATAGTACAAAAATATCACCACGATTCCAGTGCGCCACTTCACAATGCTCATGTGTTGAATAATCGAATCCGTGATTCAAACTTATCAACCAAATGACCAGCTCACCATAAATGAATTGTTTCATCCTACTGACTAGATGTTCTTAGCCCTTTTCTAATGAACACTTCTGGGTGCTGCTCCATAGATATTCCCACAAGACTCCCATTTAAGGAAAATGTCTTGATATCCACCTTGCCTAATCTCATAACTCATATGAGTGGCAACAACTTTAAATTCGGCTACTTGTGAAAGACTAACTCATAATAGATCTCATTCTTTCTGAGTCTTCTATATCACAACAAGCCTTACATTTGTACAGACTTAAACATGGCTACTGATGAAAAAGCTAACTCATAATAGACCCAATTCTTTCTGGGTCTGCTATCTCACTACAAGCCTTGTACTAAAGTCTACATTTATAGATTTCGTCCAATAGCCCGTATGCTACTTGGTAATTCTATAAGAACCCAAATCTGATTAGAGTCCACGACTTCAATCAGATATCATTAAAACTTTGCTAAGTTTTTGCATCCTTGTCTTGGATCTACTCATTGTATAACTAGGGATGAATTCAAGTTTACTAGAGACTAAGTTCGAGACTTTCTCAAAACATGAATATCATGATCTCGTGTTTCTTAGAGACCGAGTCCAATGACTCTCTCATTGTCACGATTTCATGGAGTTGTTTTGCAATCCTCCCACTGCAACGAGGTTCCTTATGCAAAAGTGTATAGCACAAAATACATGTTGCAGTCTTTATTGTGGTATCACATTTGTACACTTGGTAACAAAGTTAAACTTTCACCTTTATCTTTCCCCATAACAATTCTACAAATGGGCTTTGTGGTTTATTACTTAGTATTCCTCTAAAAATCAGGCATTTGTGCTAATGATCACCTTCTGACTTTTAGTACTTTAAAATAATCCACTCATTTCTCGTTACTTTGAAGTATCCCACAAATAACCTATTTTTCAAACAACCTTTCTAATCCTATTAGTATCAATCTTTCCAGCATGTATGCTAAAACACTCTGAATTTGAATGTGTTCTTGACTAGGCCTATGCCTTTGTCCACAATTCATTCAGAGTAATGACAACTAACTTAGATGGAACTATGTTCAGAACTTACCCTGCTATTTGCATAACTCCAATACGAAAAAATGAAATTTCTAATAACTCATCCTTGACATAACCAATCTACTTAAAAGACATTTTCCTTCGTCAAGTTACATCATCCCGTTCCGATGAACTAGATGCAACATGTTGAGACCAAATCTCAACTTCCAACAAGTATTTCCATGATTTTCCAAAAGGTATTAATCACTACGATTTCGATCGTAATGCCACTGATACATTAATCTCGACATTTTTCCATAACTGCCATTGCACTCTTTTAATGTACTTAAGCTTATGGAATGTCACTTAATGTACCCTGTTTTGAACAAATTTCTTCAAAGAAAAATATTCAAGACTACCTTTTGTCCTAAAAATCATAGAACTTCACAAATCGGATGAATTAATCCTAACATATGTTTGGCTTATAAATCCCTTGACCTACAAAAGGTCATTTATGTCATTTTAGCTGCCAAGTATAATTCGTAGGTCTGATAGTTTCATCCATTCCCAAAGAACCCATAAGTTCAGTGGCTATCCACCTTTGAATTCTACTATTGCTAAAATTCCCAAGTACTAGATGCCAAAAATAATGTATGATTCATTCATTGAAGGACCTTTATTCATATTGGTTCTAGTCGATGTGCTATTTATTTCATCTACTGCACTTGTGAGATATTTTGGCTCATTGAGTTCATAAATTGTCTACCCACATACCAAATAGATAAAACGTCACATTTTTACCCATACCCAATTTAGAAACTGAACACGAGTTCTTTCTAAAACTTGGCACGTAAAGACAATTACTCATAAATCAAAATTTCTATAGAAAACTCATTCTGAGATATTTAGGTTTCTTTAATTTTACAAACTGTCCAACCTTGTACCAAATGGATAAAACATTTCGCTTTTCAAAACAGCAAATGTAACCTTCATATACAATTTAGAAACTGAACGTGAGTTCTTTCTAAGACTTGGCACATAAGGGCAATTACTCATAAACCAAAATTTCTATAGAGAACTCCCACTGCAATAGTCACCACTTTCGTAGCAAAACCCATTCTAGGGTAATCTACTTATCACATGTCGATTGGTTTCCTGGAATCTTTTTACATAATTAGTGGTTACGTATCTATTCACCATGGACTGATAGATAACACCATTAAAAATGTTTCGACTTTCTAGCGAATTAGATTTACCCTTCTTGTCTTAAGAATAGGACAGTTCATCTTCCTATGTCCATTTTGCTTAGAGCAGATACGCTTGTCCTTTGACTTGTATTCCTCAGCAAAATAAGACACTATCCAAGTTCTATTTCTAATCATATTTGAACAAGTAAATTATCTTTGAGAATTACGGACAACGAAATGAAAGACATTTTGAATTCCTGGGATCATGCAAACATAGTCTTTACTCAGTCAAGTGTTTTTGAATTTAACATCAAATATTGACCCCTTCAAAACAACATTTGAATAAATTCACCAACACCTCAAAACACCGAATCCCCGCAGGCCACGGAGTGTGGACGTCTAGTCGGTTCATCTTTTGGTTAGCGCACTGAGTCAATGTGTCCCTCGTTTTTTATTAGAAGGAACTATTGAAATAAAAACAACCTTTTCCTTTGGGAATATCGTAATTATTTGCACTTTAAGTGTAACCCATTAATTGGTACTAAGTTTACTACAAAAATTATACGTCTACATTTGGGTGACCCGTACACTTTTGAAATAGCTCGCTACTACCATACCGAAGGAGATCTGTCCTTGTGAACTGTGAAATAAAACGTCTTTTGGGCTTGATTTAAATCACTTCACTAACAAACCTATAATGGAGGCCTTGGATGTAATTTATTTCAACCCATTACACACATAATATTTTAATTTAAGGGATTTTCCTAAACATGCTCCTAATAATTTAATTTGCAAATAAAGCAATTAAATCACATAAGAACATGCATAATTAAAAACAATGATAAACAAGGAACTAAAATCCAACTATTGTGGCCATTTAATTAATCTCCAATTTTTTTCGGAGAAACCCAATCCTGTCCTTGTCGAACTGCGTCTTCCTTTTCAGGATTTGGAATTTCCTTTTTCGCCGTGACTCACACTTTTCGTCTTGAACAAGTCGTCATCGGGAAAATCGCCATCGGGTCTCATCCGTTGGCGTGTGCCTACTGCGGCCGTCGTCCACACTTCTGTTAACTTGGGTCTGTGCGTCTTTCGTCGCTCATGCCTTAATGATACCCGCACCTGGCAGCAAGCTGCTTACGAGTTTGTCTGCATTTGCACGGTACCACGTGTCCACGTTAACCGGGTCCAACGAACAATTACATAATATAAATTACATACATTGATCCTATGGCCCACGCAGGGGTCGTACATGAATGATCTAGTAAAACATTTAAACTATGTGGTGTCCCACTGCGCGAATAAATTATTACAAACATTCACCAACCCAAAAAATCCTCGACATGTCCGAGGATTATAAAACGACATATATGAATTAAAAAAACATAAACATACGGGCCATAATAGTCAAATTCAAAAATACCTGCAAATAACACTTATTTGCAATTCTAATCTATTATGCGCTGCGCCCGTACACAATTAGTTCACATATCACGCAAGTCCTAATTCGAATAGTGCACAGAGACGAATTAGCCTGGGCTCTGATACCAGTTGTTGGGTTCTATTAGGAACGTCTGACATGCATCATATTTACGTGCATTTTATAGTGATTTTCGTGTCCGTTTCGTCGTAATTTGATATATAATTAGTTATTGTTTAGTTAATTATTATATAATTAATTATATATCTAATTATTTATAATGAGCTATGATGAGGTGTTTTATTTGAGTTTTGACAGGAAACAGAGTCGAATTAATTTTTGGAGTAGAAAACGGCGAAAATCGGTCAAAGGCGATGTGCGGTTAGGATGGACCCAATTACATGGGATATGAAATACATTTTATTGGGCTGCAGAAATAGCCATCAAGGCCCAACTGAAGATCCTAAATCAGCAGCCCAATTCATGCTAAGGTCCAACCCAACATACCAATTAAGTGATGGGTAAAATCGTCTTTTGATAATAGAAAGAAGTGCATTTGATTCATCATCTTCACTCACGTACGTCCGCCATGTCCGCCATTGTTGCTCGACCAAGCTCGCACCAGACTACCAAGCCGCCGATCAGAGCTCAGACCAGACCACCTGGAGCCACTTTTGACGGCTCGAAATCTGGAGAGGAGCTGCGGGACCAACGAAGTCGGGCTGAGGAGAGTTGGTCGGAAACTCGCCGGAGAACCACCTAGACACTATGTCCGACCACCTGAGACGAACTTTCAGACCTTCGATTCCATCCAGTCGTCGGAGCAGCAGTCTGGATGTCAACACGTGCTGGAGAGGAAACTGTCAGAAGTTGGCGAAAGTGGCCGGAACAAGGCCGGAACTCGCCATGGCCAGCGACCTGCACGCCGTTAGACGACTGAGAGGCCATCTAGGATGCCTTGGATGCCAGAAATTCGACCAGGAGCCACGAGCCGAGCTGAGAATGACGATTTAGTGCTGTTTTGAACTCCCAGGTACACACGGGTCGTGTGAGCCCGAGACACGAGTCGTGACGTTCCGACGGGTCGTTTATGGAGCTCTCGACTTTGTCACACGACTCGTGTGGCTTATGACACGAGTCGTGTGGCCCTGGACGTATTAGAATCGGATTTTGCGCGTTTTCCTATTTTTTTCGGCCTTTTCGACCTATTTCGACTAGGACTCAACCCCGACTATATGTACAACCCTTGGACACGTTTTTGAGGAGTCTGGGACATAATTTGGCAAAATTACAAAAAAGATACATTAAGTTGGGCGTTGTCAAGAAAACATCCATTTTGTTGTCCCTCTCGGAAAAGACACACGGAGTTGGCATTTTCGTCGGAAACGATACACTAATCACCCCTGCGGGATAAAAATCTGACGTGGCCTGATTATCTTATTACGTGGCATTTAAACTTTCGGTATATTCATGCGTGGAATTTACGTGGCCGACACAGTGGACATGAGGCCTAATTTGGAGGGAAATCTCGTTGACCACCGAGGACCGAGGTATTAATTGCGGGAAAATCACAAATCACACCCAATCCCTCATTTCGATCGGCCAGAATTAGGTTATTTCAAAGAACCCTAAAAATCGTCACCTTCAATTCGATCTCAATAATTCATTTCAAGTATCAAAACATCAATAAAAGAAAATCACGAAGATGTCAGCGTCTTCTTTTTCTTCTCCGTCGAACGTTTTGTGAGATTGTCTGAATAAGGCCCAATTGAGGACTTCAAAGACGAGTCAGAATCCTGGGAAACGATTCTATGGTTGTAAGAAATGGAAGGAAGGAGGGTGCACTTTTTTCATGTGGGCCGAGCCAACTTCTCAAGTCAACTTAGAAACTTCATCTGGTATGAATAATCGAGATTTGGGTTGTAAGGCTCAAGAATCTGAAATTAAGATTGTTTTGCTGAAGGCTGAATTGAAAGTTCTGAAGATGAAGATTGCAATGCTTGAAGATTCCAATGGGAAATTTGATTCTCAAGTGAAGTTGATGATGGACAGGATGAAGAGAATTCACTTGTTTATTGTTGGTATTTGTATTGGTTTGATCTTATGTGTTATAATGAAATAAAGAATGAATTGTTCATTAAAAAAAAAGTGGGATTTGTTCTGATGTACTGAATATTTGTTGGTTGATTATGAAGTGGACTGATTTCTGTGTTTGTTGCTTATGAAGTGTATTGAATTGATCTGTTGAAGAAATATTTTTTTTCCCAGTTAGCACACACTGAAAAAGACAAACAATAGGTATTGCCAACTGAGATCAAAATTCAGATATTGCCAACTGAGATCAAACAACAATGCAATAAGGTGTAAAAACACAACACTTTAAAACCAATCACCATCCATTTACCATAAATCATCCATTACAAATTCAGATCCAAAAAACCATTCAAACCAAAACAACATCTCATAACCATAACCTTCGCAAACAAAAGAACACAGATTTCACTTTTCACCATCACACCATAACCATAACCATAACCATAACCATTCACAGCAAAACAACTTTGAAGTACAAAACACAAAAAACTGTCAAGTTCATAACAACACATTCAGAATAATCATCAATCATCAATCATCCATCATCACAGCAATTTCTGTTTTCCTCTGCCATCATCACTCTTCTTTGGATTGTTCATGCCTGACATAAGCTCAGACACAGATATGTACTTTTGTCCTCATTCTTGAAATATTTGTTTGCGCCTAGTGTCCCTCTCTGAAAGGCAACTTTCTTGACTTGGTATAAATAGTCCAACCTGAAATCTAGGAGGCCCTCTAATGTTCACCCCAGAAGTTGGACCCCCTTGAGCAGAAGGATGTTGATGGTACATTGAAGGTGCTTGAATGAATTTTGGAACTGTGGTTTGTTTTTTCCCTTCCTTTCTTTTCTTGTGGGTTTGGCCTTCACCCTGCAAGATAATTTATAAAATAAATACAACTATGAATTTTCAATGATAAAATAAGGCACAAAAAGTTTTTCTTACAGTTACAACACTCTCTTGAGTTGAAATTCCTATTGCAGGAGCTTTGTCTGTCATCCTTCTAGCCTGAAAGAATAAAAATTTTCTTTTTAGTAAACAAGGTAACATAATTTGAATTCATTATTAAATTTAAACCAACATTAAAAAAGTACCTTAAGCTTTTGAGGCCTATCTTCTAGACTAATGGCTGCAGGATCTGCATTGCCTTCCTTCATTAGAATGCAGCCTCTCTTGTTGTGACCTTCCACATGGCAAAAAGTGCACTTCAACCCTGTTTGCTGCCTTTTGATAGTATTGGCTGGAGTCACAAGTCGAGGCTTAACCCTTTTTTTTTCTAATTCTTTTGGGTTGAACCTCATCAGGTTCTATTCTCCTCACTCTAGTGGGCCTACCAGCTGCTCTACCATTATTAGGTGGCAATGGAGGAGCATATCCTGTCCTTCTCCATTCTTTTCTGCCATTGATGGGCATTATGGCTGGAGCATAAACCTTTTTATAGGTCTCTGTCTTGTAGCATGGATGTATGAAATCATCAATGTTCCAGCCTTGAAAATGAATAGCACTTACTGCATGGATACAAGGAATTTCACTCAGTTGCCACCTCCTACAACCACAACTCTTGTTTTCCAAATCAACTTTGAACTGATCACCATTGAACACCTCAATTTGGAAATTGAAATCATTAGACTTCAATGGGATACAGTCAACCAAATTTTCAATATGGTTATCAATTATCTCCCTCACCTTAGGACAAAATAAAAAATCCCACTTTTCTGCCTTATCTCTATTAAGTTGCAACCTTCTCATCAGGTAATTCATGATCCACTCAAGCATTGATAAGATGGGCATACTTCTACCTTCTAAGATGTTGCAGTTGAATGTCTCACAACCATTATTTAGCAACATGTCACACTTGGGAAACTCACTGAAATGAGACCTGCTCCATTAATGAGGTGGTTTGTCACTTAACCAGTCATAAGCACTCTCTTCCAACTTTTTTAGTGCATCCATTTTCCTTGAAAAATCATTGACTGTAGATGCTGTAGCTGCTCTCCAAACTGCATTCTTAAACCCAATCCCTCTAAAACCTGCATTTCTGAAGTTGCCCAAAAGGTGCCTCACACAAAACCTATGATCTGAGTTAGGCAACACTTGTTGAAAGGCCTGAATCAGTCCTTTCTGTTTGTCAGAAATAAATGTCCACTCATATTGATTTTCAATCTCAAGGTCCAATTTCAACAGCAAAATGAACCACTCCCAGTTGTCTCGGTTTTCCTTTTCAACAATAGCATAAGCTAAAGGAAACAAGGAATTGTTAGGATCTACTCCCACAGCACATAGTAGCACTCCCTTGTTGGGGCCTTTCAAGTGACAACCATCCACTCCAATGATGGGTCTGCAACCAGCTTTAAATCCAACTTTCAGTGCATTCAAGCAAATGTAGAACCTGTCAAACAAGTTCTCCCCACTACTATCATCAGTACCCAAAATCACTGTGCTCCCTGGATTAGTCCTTTTTATCTCATCACAGTAATCCCAAAGAAGAGCATACTGGTCATTAGGACAACCACTCTTTTCTGCAAGTGCTGTCATTTTTGCCCTATATGCTTGTGCTCTAGAGAATGTCACTCTCAGCTCTCTCGCTTTACTGCCCCTAAAACCCTTAATCTTTCTGTCAGGATCACCTTGCAGCTCATGAGCATATCTACCAGCAAGCCATCTTGAGGTAATATTTTTAACCTTTGCTGTGGCAGCACAAGTATGAGTGTGAGTGTACTTTATCACTTGCCAGGCCTCCTCTCCATTGATCTTAGTTGCATGCAGCTTCCAATTACAAGCAGCATCAACACATTTAGCATGAACATACTTCCTATCTCTTCTAGTTAATTTCACACTTCTTTTGCATTTGATTGCATTTGACTGAATTGCTGTCCTCAGTTCACCTTTGGTACTGAAAACCAAACCTACCCTGAAAGTAGGATCATATAACTCTGCAGTGTTGAAAATAGGATACTGGTGACCTACATTCTTTCCTTCAGAACTATCATCACTATGCAAATCATCACAATTGACCACATCAGTTTCATTTTCAACTGAGATACCATCATTTGAACATTTCTTAACACCTTCCCCCTGACCATGCAACCATTCAGCATCAAAATCCACATTATCATCAAACATCTTGTCATCTACCTTGTCAGCTTCCATATCATACTCCCAATCCAAAAATATCATCATCACTCTCCTCACTATCCTCACTCTCCTCACTCTCCCCACCAACACCACCATCAGCATCAAACCCACCATTCTTAGCCATAAACTCAGCAACCTCATCCACGACCTGATTTAAATCTTCATCACTCTCCTCACCCTCATCAACCTTCTCAGCCTCAATCTCAACCCCAAGCTCACCCTTCTCAACCCCAAGCTCAGTCTCACCCTCACCCTCACCCTTCTCACCCTCACCCTCATCACCCTCACCCTCAACCTCACCCTCCTCTGCCTCAACCCCAACCTCAACCTCAACTTCATCCACATTTTCATCAAACAAGATGTCATCCAACTTGTCAACTTCACTATCATTCTCCCACTCAAAAGTTTCATCACTATCATCTTCACCAACCTCATTTTCAATTTCAGGTGCATTAACAATTTCTGTATTTTAACTTAGCTCTTCAACAAACAAACTAACCTCCCTAACCTTCTTAATTTGTCTTTGCCACACACTCTCAAGATCAGTCTCAGTTGAAAGTAACATGAAACTCCCACAACCAACATATGTGTGCAGTCTCATAGGATTTTTGCACCCTTTAAATTCTGCCACAGACTTAAAGTCAGCAAGTGTGACCATTTCATAATCCACATAGTCAAACAATATTGTACTCCCACCTAGATATGCAGAATATTTTTTCCCAATATCAAATTTACCCCCAAATTCTAGGGTGACTGTGAAGAATTTACTAGTTGAACCTGCAGTAACAATAAAAATTACAATGAAAAAGCATCTAGGAAAGAAGAATAGTGTAGACTGAAAAAATTAAAATTGAAATTAAATCATTATTTCTTCATTGTGACAACCATGTGACTGCCCACATCGGCTCTTTTCTCAGGAAAAAGAAAAACATTAACAAGTATGAGTGAATTCACTGGAATAAGAAAAAGAAAACCATGATTTAACATACTATATCTAGAAGCTGGGGAACATTCTTTGTCACTGGGTCGTATTTGAATCTCGCAGTCGGAAACACGAAGGCCTCTTGCTAACTTCAAAATGGGATTCGATTTTTGAACTGGTTTTTTCTTCATTGTGACAGTTGTTGATTGATTAAGGTCGAAACTGATGTAAGTGATTGAACTGGAAGATAATCTAGGTTAGTTTTTCTTCATTATGTGAGTGATTGAGGTCGAAATTGAAATGAAGATAATCTAGGGTTTTTTCTTCACGATTGAAATGAAATAGGGGCGGGGCAGACGTACAGGTGTGTTGGGATTTCCCTCCAAATTAGGCCTCATGTCCACTGTGTCGGCCACGTAAATTCCACGCATGAATATACCGAAAGTTTAAATGCCACGTAATAAGATAATCAGGCCATGTCAGATTTTTATCCCGCAGGGGTGATTAGTGTATCGTTTCCGACGAAAATGCCAACTTCGTGTGTCTTTTCCGAGAGGGACAACAAAATGTCTCTTTTCTTGACAACGCCCAACTTAGTGTATCTTTTTTGTAATTTTGCCACATAATTTTCACATATTTGGAGACCTTTGGAGGCTAGAAACACGAGCAAGACGAGGGAGAAAGCCGGGAAGAAAGGATCGACGGAGCCGAATAAGCTTTTTCTTTCTTTTTCTTTTCCTCTTTCGAACTCGATGTTTTATATCTATTTTTCTTATTTTGAAAACATGTTTCTAGGCTCGATTTATCTTAGATTCTAGGATTTGTTAGTACTCAGATTGATTTATGATTTAGTTTTTATTTATTTCATTCCGGTTTATCTTTCGTTTATAAATTTCTTGTGCTTATTATTATTGTGTGAGTAGATGGCCACTATGAATGCATATTTGTAATTGATTTGAGACCGAGAGGAGATAATTGATTGCTAGAATTGGGAGATTTATAACGTAAGAGAATAAACAGACCGAGGGGTTGATAGGACCTTGCGAGAGAATGAAAATCCTAGGAACTTATGGGAGTTAGTTGTTCATCTTGAGACCGAGAGGAGATAGATAACAATTAATATCTACGATTTAACTTGTTCGAGAGAAAGGTTTGAAATCAATTTAGCGATTATCTCTACGATTGGTAAAATTAAATAAGGTTTGTTTGAATATAAACGTTTCATGAATTAATTCCGAGGAAAGCATAACCTAGAATCTACCTTTTGTATCTTATTTTATTTTTATTTGTTTAGATAAATTAGTTTTTAGTTTAATTCTTAGTTTATAATCATCATTCAATTCACTAGTCTAGATAATATTTAATCGTCGTTATTTTAGTACATTATTAATTTAACTATAATCTCTGTGGAATACGACCTTGCTCGCCACTACCTATAGTTACTCCGTACACTTGCGGATAGCGAAAATAATTAGCGAACAAGTTTTTGGCGCCGTTGCCGGGGATTGTTTGTTGAATTGATTAATATTAGAAGAAGACGAATAAATATTAGTTTAGATATTTTTATTTTATTATTCTTATTTTTTTTTTTCTCTTTTCTGATATTTTCTTATTTTTCTTTTTTTCTTGCGAGATGACGTTTAATAGCTACCAATGGCCGGTGGAGCAGACGATGTTTAATGGAGTAGCGGCGACCACCGAATCTGACTCGATGGTTAAGTTGAGGGCACAACTAGCCTCATTTGTGAAGCAAGTGGACTCTATGGTGAAGAACGAAAATGTCGGGGTGAATGCGGTGTCAATGTATGAACCTGTCCAGAACGTGAATTATTTGCATGATCGGAATTACGACAATTTCTGGGGATATCAAGAAGGTAACACATACTATTCAGGCAACCAGAATTATCCTAGTTTCTCGTACACCGATCCATACAATGCTGTACAACCGCCAATGGGATTTTCGGTGACCAATGGGGTCATCAACGAGCCGAAGAAGCCGGCACTCGAAGATACGCTCGCCTCATTCATGAGGACCATGGAAACATTTATGACTCAGACGGAAAAATATATGGAATTAAATGACGCACGTCTTGCTTTGATTGAGGATCGAATGAAGTCGATTGGGCAGCACTTGGGGCAAATGATTGTGATGGTCGAGAGTCAACAGCAAGAGGATCAATTTTTGAGTCATACGGAGATCAACTCAGAGGATTGAAAAGTCGGGAATGCTCGAGAGATGATACGTGAAGTCCCGACTGAGGTGAACGAGGTGCATGAGCAAGAAGAAAATGAACCAATGGTCGAGATGGTTGTGGCTAATTCAGACGAGAAGATGGAGAGCCCGGTTGAGGCTCATGAGGTGGTTACACTCAAGGAGGAGAGTAGTGCACTACTACTAAGAGACCGTCCCGTTAAGTGCGAAGATCCCGGTGGATTTTATATCGATTGTGCAGTTGGAGAATCATATACCGGGAAAGGGCTATGCGACTTAGGGGCGGGCGTCAACTTGATGCCACTCTCTGTTTTCGAGAAGTTGAGATTGGAGAAGCTTCAACCGACTATGATCACTCTTCAAATGGCAGATAAATCCCAAGTTCGTCCCATGGGAATTGTAGAGGATGTTTGGTTGACGGTCGATGGAATTAAGTTTCCGACAGATTTTGTGGTGATAGATATGAAGGATAACGGTGATACACCATTGATTTTAGGAAGGCCATTCCTAGCCACCGGACAGGTACTTATTGACATGGAGCTTGGTGAGATTACTTTTCGAGCTTATGATGAATACCGAACTTTTACACTTGCTCGTGGTTGGAAAATTCAAGAGCCAAACGATGGTAGCCGACGCCATGAGAAGATCAATGAGGAGATTGGAATGAACGGGAATGACCCATATTGAGAGTACGGAAGACGTCTAGCTAAAGACGTTAAATTAAGCGCTTGTTGGGAGGCAACCCATCGTTTATCGCTTTTATATTTTTTTTATTTTTTTTATTTTATTTTCGTTTTTTTATTTATTTTATTATTATTTTTTTTTAAAATCTGGAAAAAGAAAAAAAAAGTGAAAAAAAATAAAAATAAAAAAATGGTGAAGATCGAGTGTTCGAGCGAAGCATGGAAGAGATGATCGTGCTCAAGGGTGCAAGGATTGCTTACGGTGGAGCTCGCTCGACTTTTCGGTTAGTTACTTGAGATTTACCACTTATTTTTCTTAAACTTCATTCTTTTCTAAAGAATAAGTTTGGGGGAAAGAGGTGTTGTATATCTTGAGTTTTTATCGCTTTATTGCATATCATATAGTTGCTTGCATTAGTTTTTATTTTTTTGATTTTTTTAGGTTATTTTTATTTTATTTATTAGGATGCACGTTTATATGCTTTCTTAGATTAGTAATAATTTGATTGAGTCGAATATTTTTGCTTTGTCTTGTGTTGTGTTATGGATGATTGGTGGATAGACGAGAATTGTTTAGAGTTGCTTATCTTAATTAAGATATGTTAGAGTAGGGTACCCGGCGTTCCAATCTAATTGGACGTATTCTACTTGTAAATACAGTCTATTGGAATTATATTATGAATAAGGCATTTCTTTATCTTAAGAGAAAGCATTTATCTTATAATTGCACTTAAGATAAAATCCCTAGATCACTTATGGTTATAAGGTATGGTTGCGCATAGAGATGGTGATCATGGAACATACCTTGAAAGCCGTGATCTTAAATACAGTTCCAAGTCGATGGATGTTTCGAGATGGGATATCGAATAATCCATAAAAGACTTGCACATAGTTTGTATGCTTGTTGGACAAGAATGTTGCATTCCATCAACATTAGCGTAAGACGTAAGTACATTTTTGTGAGTGCTTGTTAGAGAACAAGTTCACTGAACATGACCGTATGAAAATTCTTAATGAAGAATTTATTCAGTCGAATAAGAATTTTCATGTTACAATAGTACATGACTAATCCTAAGACTTGAGGCACAATGGTAACTTTGTGCATATTACATTCTACTTTGATTTATCCTTTT